TATATACATATAGATATGCATTTGAATATATAACTTCCAATATATATATTGTATATATCTAACCTGTAAATATACACATAGCATCACATATAGATGTATACACACACCTCTGATTCATATAATTATAAAGATATACAAATAAATATATATATATGCATCCTATATAAAAGAAATGACAAAATATACAAAATTCATATTACTAATATATATATATTTAGTATATTTTTCTGTTAATATAATATTAGTAAAAGAATCTAAACATAGGTACAAATAAACTATTAGTGTAAACTAGTTAATAAACAATCATACATTTAATTCCGGACGTAAAGTAAATAAAGAATTTTTTTAAAATAAATAAATAATGGTAGTATCTGGCTTGAATTAAAATCAATCTGGTTCAATATATTTCAAGGGGTATTTTCTTTATGTCTACATGTGACCATTAATTCATTTCTTTTGTTTAGGAAATTAGTGGTATTTAATTTATCTTAGAATAGTCAATTGTACTAGAAGTTTACATCTTTACCAATTTAGTTCTAGGCATTATTATATAACCACGTAATCTTCGCCATAATTCCACCGTCATTTATTTGCTAGTAATATATATATATAGAGAGAGCAGTATTATCTTTGTATTTTTCATTATTTAATCTAAGTTTATGAATAAAATGTCGAATTATCAAGTTAGTTTCACTTGAACCAATGTAAATTTTGTTGTTCATTATCATTTGTATGTTAGCTCTATAAACAATATTATAAATCAAACATTAGCTGTTTAATGGACAGTTCATATTATTTTGGCAGCTGCATTTTTATCATCATCTACACTTGCTTCGTTATTGCTGTTTTTGCAAGTTATATAATTATTCAATAATATATTATTACGATGAAGTATGAATTTTTCGATATTTCTTCCGCAATTGTAGGTGATCTTGATTTTTTTTGTTTTGTAACAAATATCCTTTAATGTCGTTGAATTTTTAAAATGTTTATCTGTTAGTTTGATAGGTAACGATTTGTTTTAAAATTTCTGTAATTATTCATTTTTATCACACGTTATCTGCCATCGCCTTAGGAAGTACAATCTTAGTATTGAAACATGAAAGTTTTTGTGTAGCGATGTAAAATGTTATATTATAAACTATTACAATAAAATATCATATATATATATATATATATATATATATATATATATATATATATATATAATAAAATATCATACATATATGCTAATAAAATAGTACTCGATGTATAATAACAGAGCTATAATTTATGTTAATAAGAAATAAATATTTTTCCTCACCGATTACACAACTCTGAGTTTCATGCCCAACATCAGATACTGATAGAAAACTGTCCGTCTCATAATTTTATATTGATATTTATACCGTACTTTAATGATAATGGAACAGTTCATTTTAATTACGTGGAGGTGGATTCAAATAAATAAAAATAAAGAAATTAAAAATAATATATACTCATTCGGGTTATGACTTTTTTGAAACCCTATGTTCCTAGTTCAAGTAAATGAAAAAGGCATAAATTTCTTTTGGTTCTTCAAAAACTTCACACACCCCTACAGAAAATTCGATTTTACCTATATGGTAAGGGTAAAAAATCAAAATATTTCAGAAGCTTATTTTTTTATCTTCCTAATGATGCAATTGAGTAGTACTCGTGTATTATTTAACAGTTTAAAGCTATAATTTACAAACTTAAAAATAAACAAGAACAAGTTATTGAAGATCCCATAAAATTCTAGAAATCTTCAGGAAATTCTAGAAAGTTTCGGAGAGTTCTCGAAGCCTCCAGAAAGTCATTGTACTACTATACATAGATACAATTTTAGAAATATCGTGTTAGGGTTTATATTTTTGACAAATAAACTGAATTAAACCCTTCTTCATTATTTTTAAACAAAAGTTCATCGAATTATGATACAGCAAATCAACTATTTTTACAAAAAAGTCTTAACCCTTATACATATATATATACACATATACAAAGACACATATGCATACACTTACATGACTCCAATTAGAAAACAGATACTTTTAATTCGAATACAAATATGTACACATCTAATATGTGCTGTGCTCAAAGTTGTGTTTAAACTGCCCGAAGTTCATATTTTGTTATTTTTGGTCAAGTGGTTTCAACTTTCACAGTCATTATTAAGAAACTATATAGTATCTCTGTGGTAGGAAAATATAATAAAAATTTAAAAGACAGACCAGTACTCAGTACTTTTTCATCATCATTGTTTCTACATATACATATATTCGACCCTTCAAAATTTGTAGACGGTCCTGCACGAAACCTTCACCACTGTAATCAAATCTCATGTGCTGTTGTCGGGCTGTCGGTTTCCTGGGAACTGATCTGCTTGACCCTCATATATATATATATATATATATATATATATATATATATATATATATAGAGAGAGAGAGAGAGAGAGAGAGAGAGGGGGGGAGAGAGATGAAGAATATATTATCTTACGGTGTCCTATATTTATGGGATAAAGTGCTCAATATCAGAGATAGAGCGTGTGATTATAAAATGAACATATATATAATATCAACCTTTAGAGGCGACAGTCTGTTTCTATATTTAAAAAGCAATCGTCAGTCAACCTTTAGAGGCGACAGTCTGTTTCATGCTAAACGCAATCGTCAGGCCTGATATATATGTGTGTGTGTGTGTGTTTATGTGTGTGCGTGCGTGTGTGCGGGAATGAATTTATTTAAATATATTTTGTCATTCTTGAAATTACTAGGTGGGGTCCATGCTGATGTAGTCGCCATTTTCCTTTTTGCTTTGTATCGATGATCAACTATGTAACTATAGAAAGATTGTTTTGAGACCATTGTCATAAAAATATCAGTTTTTCATCAAAACTTTCACATATAGCACTGGATTCTTATTCGAAGGGATCTTTAGCTACATTAGTTTTTTTTTTTATTATTATTTTCACAGAGTAATTATATTTTTCAGTAAAATAATAATGTGGGGAATGAGAGAAAATTCTCTTCGAAACAATGTCCTGCGTTCAGGCCTCTTTATTTTCTTTTTAAATAAACAAAAATCTGTATAACTTGATTCGGTAGAATTCTAGATTTTCCGATTTTAACTTGATCATACGAAACAAAACCAGCAATGGATCCAATGAGAATCATTTGGAATTTAATTATCCAGATTTTGAACAAGTTCAAATTTCTTTCACAGGATTACTCACTACTATTATAGATGATGCTCATGTTGTTGCCATGGGAATCATTACGTGCATCTCATCACCATCATCATCGACATCATCATTATTATTCATACCAAACGTACCTGCAGGTCATGGCTGGAAATGCAATGACATTTAATTATCTGTAAATTTCCATCACCCACCTGTGAATTCTCTCAAATTTGAAGTTTATTTTCCTAGGAAACGTTTAATTCAAGATTGGATAAAAAATTATTTACATTATATTATTATAATTATTACATTATATTTCAATTGTCTCACTGCTTTAATTCGCTGGCGACCGACTTTTCTCTTGCTTGTAATTCCTTGCACATTATTCGTCATGGGTTTGTTTATTCGACATTACTTTGTCATATCCGGGGGATGTTGATATACACGAGGTTATTCGAGGTTAAGCTGTTTTATAACACCTGGTATAAAATGGCGCTGGCTTGAATAAAAACAAATTAGGCCAGAATATACCACTTTCCTTTCACATGATTATTATTACATTCACAGATAATAATTTATGATTCTATGGATGATGCAGTGTTACACCCGTAGAGATTTCTTGTGTATATTTGGCAGCACTCAATTTTATTCCAACACCTTAGTTTGTCTATCTATCTATCTATCTATCTATATATATATATATATATATATATATATATATATAATAATGTCAAAATTTAGTGCAATTTGCGTACTTACAGATCGATATATGACAAATAAGTAAAATAATATTAACATAAGACAAATTTTAGTATCTGTCTATATTTCTGAGATGAGGTATTATGTATACTATTTACCTTATTCGGACTATTGTCCTCATCTTTGTCGCCATATTTATTACAACGTTTCGGCCGTTGTACGCCCCGGCCTTCTTCAGATGGTCGGAATGTCGAACTGAACTCTTTATTTCGCACACTGGGGTAGACTGTTATAGTTCCACGTGCCATGTTTAATGGACGTCAGTTCGACATTCCAACCACCTGAAGAAGGCCGGAGCGTACAACGGCCGAAACGTTGTAATAAATATGGCGACAAAGATGAGGACAATAGTCCGAATAATGTAAATAATGTACATAATACCTCATCTCAGAAATATAGACAGATACCGATGGATCAGAAATATATATTTTAATTTTCTAGACAGCTAGAATCAGAAAGATACATTTGAATTTTCTAGGTTCATAAAGTAAATACAAGGCTTGGAAAACACACAGGATATATTTAGAGGCAAGGACGACAAGAATCAGCTAGAAATTAATAAGCAACGGTAAGTGGGTGGCAAAACAGAGAGGGGTGTAAAAATAAAAATGTATAAATATTGGTAAGGGCTACGAAGAACAGGAAGTCGTGGAACGCCATAATTATCCAGATCCTAGTCTTTAATTTATTTCTTCTGCTGCTTCCTTTTCTTCTCTCTCTCTTCTTTTTTCTTCTCTTTCTTTTACGTCTTCTTTTTCTTTTTCTTCTTATTGATTGAATGATGCCTTTGTTACGGTTTACCAACCCTTTTACAGGTTATTTAAAACCATAAAACTTTAAAAAAAATAAAATTTAAGAACTTATTTAGATAAAAATATAGTTTAAAAAAATGACATAAGTCTTACTCATTAATCCATAGATGGGGATAAAAGATGACTTTATACATTTCCTGGGGGTATTTAGGCGTAAGTAAATATAACAAGCCCAATTAGAACTCGTCTCTCCGATTAAAAATTCCGAGCCATTATCACTTACACCAACCGCACATCTATGGTTACAGCACCTTGTATTTTCAAGCGATCACCCATCGATGTACTGTCCAGGCTCGACATTGCTTAACTTCAGTGATCGTACGTGAACAGGTTTTTCAACGGGAAGTATTCGTAAGCCGGAAGTTACTGAAAATGGATTCAAAGTGAATTTCTAAATATGTGATCCATACTAATTAGCATTAGCTTTTAGGATACTCATGGACTGTGGAGGGTGGGTCTTAACGTACACGACGGGTTATTCCTAATCCTTCCAAGCGCTCCTACTACTACTGGAATAACGGTTTAGGTTAAATGCTACATTCTTGTAATTTCTATTTCCAGATCTATATATTCGTAGAGTTTATCAAATTCTTTTGCTGAAATGTTTATATCAGTCGGTGTGTTCGGGTCTTGAAGATAGCATTTACATTCTCCGAAGTCTTTTATGACTATATCGGGTCTGTTAGCTTGTATAATGTGTTCGGTATGTATGGTGAAATCCTAGAGTAAAGTAATACCATCACCTTCCAGAAATGGTGGTGGTTTTCGCTCATAACATTTTCTTTACGGGGTAAGTGATAATCATAGCATATCTTCAGTGAATGGGATGTACTCTACTATCATGCCTATTTCAAATTCATTTGGTGCGAGAACAGAAAAGCTAGATATTCCTAGATCAATAGCCTCATCTTCGTGTATACAGAAAAGACACTTTGGATCTATAATATTCCTTAAAATGCTGACTGGTAAGTTATTATTATTATTATTATTATTATTATTATTATTATTTCCTTTGATTTTCTGGTGTATACTCATTTCATTCCGGGTCCCGACCAGAGACCTAGGGTCAGAAATGACATTTTCCACTGAGCAGTTTGAAAAAAAAATAAAAAATGAAAAATATTTAAAAAATCACACATATTTTACATAGATAAATTCATTCATAAGGCATGGGCGGTACTTGTGAGAACAATTTGTTGTATTTTGGGAGAACAATAATAATAATAATTACTATTATTATTGTTATTACTATTATTATTATTGTTGTTGTTGTTGTTGCTGCTGCTGTTGCTATCTCATATTTTACATCGATAAAGCCATTCATAAGGTGTGGGCGGTACTTGTGAGAACAATTTGTTGTATTTTAGGAGAACAATAATGATAATAATAATAATAATAATACTTACTATTATTATTATTGTTGTTGTTGTGGTGGTGGGTGTGGTGGCGGTGTTGGTGGTGACTGTATCGTTTTCTTCTTCTTCGAACATTCATATTTTTACATCAGGTGCCTAGCGAGCATTGTTGAAGACCGAGTGGCAGCAAGCTTACTCAAATCTCAAAGCACTTTCCACGGCATCTTCGCAGACCCCCAACTACCCCCCTGGTCACTTGTACAGCTCCAAACCTTCCATAGACTTACATTTCATCCAATCTACATTTCAGTGTTTTGGCCCACTGTTTCAAGTGCGTCTCTTATTACAGACACGATCCCCAAATTTCATATTACACATCTTTCTCAGTTCTCGCGTAAGGGCTTGGAAGTTTTTTCAGTCCCCTATACGTTCATTCTGTTGTCCGCTGTCTGAGCCAGGTCTACGATTTTGTGAATTTTTTTTTCATTATACCCGATTACCAGACCCGGCTTTTTTGCTTGGCAGAGGTGTTCGTTCGGGGTGCCGAAAACGCTAAATGTTTTCTTTTTATTTTTAAGAATAGTCTCCGATTTTTACTGATACGATTTGTTTAGATTGTCGACCCTGTCCCTAACATATAACTGTAGCTAAACTATAATGCTTTTCTTTTTTTTCTTTTTTTACTCTTTCCGAGTAACGCTATCTTTTTTCACAGAAAAGATCTTATAATTATTACATAGATTGTCGACCACAACCAGTAACCTTAATTATCATCAAATTTTCCACTGACTCCAGATTATTCTTACCGTTCTGTGATTATTCCACTCGGCAATGCCAATCTCCTTTCTTCATATCTTTATTCTGTCGGTTCTTGTACCAAGTGCATCAGTGAAAGCTTGTATGGCTGTCACTTTCTTCAACTTCTAAAGTCTGGCGAGTTCAAACTTCAATAGATCAGTATTGGTCATTTTCTCTTCCTTTTGCTCGACCCTTTCAGCTAAAGGACACGATGGATCAATGACTAACCTTTCGGTTGCTATTTTATCTTACACTAATATATCCGGTTTGTTGCACGACAATTTTCTCCTTTATTGAAAAGAAAATACAAAATAATTCAGTGACTTTATAAAGTTTATAGCTGTACCATTCCTTTTCTCGCTGTCGTTAGAGATCAAATTATATCAAGTATCTTCAAAACTCCAATAATCTTTTCGGTGTTCTTGATTTGAGAAATACTGCCATTCAAAAAATTTCAAACTTTAAAATTTTGTTCAACTTCCAATTTTTTTAGTCTATTAGAAATTTTCCATTCCTTTGTTTGAAATTATTTTGTTACAATCCTCTTCCAAGTTCCAGGAATTTATCCATCTTTTTTAAAATCCTGTTTTTCTTTTGATCTACAGAAACGGCTATATTTGCTATCTGATATATTTTCTTTTCTTTTTAGGGGATGATCTGCTTTAATTTCCAAAGTTCCATAGAATATTCCTTTTTTCCAGTTTTCTAGACAGCTTCTAGTTTGTACAGTTAACCGTTAGTTGTCATGGCAAAATCTTTATCGTTTGCAGAATTCCTAGTAGATAAGCCTTCCTATCCAGTCATCTCTCTCTTCGCATATTTACTATTGTCATGTGTCTTGATATAGTTTCTTTAATATTCTTATTGCCTAAAAATTTCAAATAGAGTATATCTATAATAAGACAATATAAATAAAGATAAATGGCAAACTTATCTTAGTCGACGCGTTTTGTCCTCTGAGCGACTTTATCAAGGAAAATACAAATATTTTATTTTGTAATAATTATTTATATTCAAGAGCTTAAATATTATTGGTTTTTCTTTTTTTTTTTTAATTTAAAAACGCACATAAATATTCATCAAATTAAGCGAAAAGTTTAGGCAAGCTATGGAGGACTATAAGTGATACAATTCAATGTCTAATAAAAGGAAGTGAGTAAATGACGTTTTTGAATTTAATCTTTATGTAAATTTGTATTTAAATTATTTTAGTTTGGGATTCATTTATGTGTTATATATTTTAAATAATTTGAGGTTATGGATTTAACTGTTTTCTTTTATTTTTGTTAAACATTTTTATAATCATGTATGTTGGATTGGGAAAGGAGTTATTCTTTCAGGAATAGAGATATTTGAAAAATCCTGTGAGCAGATTTATATTTTGATAAGATTCGATAGAAGCACTCTTGAGAATTTTCTTTTATAGTAAATTACTTTCTTTTTTTAAAAAGTGTGGCATTATTTCTAGGTATAACTAATGCATAATTTGTTGTATATAAGATAACTTTTGTGTCCATAGATACATTTTTTTACATACCTGCAAGCAAGTTTCCCCAATGTATTGTGAGGGACAGTTATAACAATTTATTTTATATATACCTACTTTAGTGTTATTATATTTATCAGTTGTAATTATTTTGATGTTGTTTAGATTGGATAAATTATTATTATTATTATTATTATTATTATTATTATTATTATTATTATTATTATTTCTTCTCACTGTTTGTTTCTTCTTTTTTGTTTTTTGCAATAATAGTGACGCGTCTTTCAGTTGGGCTCAGGTAACGATAAATCTTCAGAATTATTATTACTTTGATTTCCTTTGATTTCTGGCGTTTACACATTTCTTTCCGGGTCCCTCCCAGAGACCTAAGGTTCGAAATGGCATCATGACACTTTCCACTGACAAATTAAAAAAAAAAAATGACATAGACAAAGCCCTTCGTAAAGTGTGGGCTGTACTTGTCAGAACAATTTTTGTATTTCTTTGAGGCATGGACTTCCAGGAATCCCTTCAATTAGTCTACTGCAATCTTTTCCAACCAATCCTAGGGCTACAACTACAACAGCGATTGTTGATGTTCCCATATACCACATTTTTGAGATTTCAATTTCAAGGTCCTTGTATTTTGTCAGCTTTTTGAATATCTTCAAAGATACATTGCAGTCTGTAGGGCCTGCCATATCAAAAAGGAGGCACTTTTTTTTGTTTGTGGTCTATTTTCTTTGGTTTCTTGTATATACTCATTTCTTTCCGAGTCCCAACAAGAGACCTAAGGTCAGAAATGGCATCAGGACATTTTCCACTGAGCAATTTTGAAAAAAATCGCACATATTTTACAGAGATAAAACCCTTCGTAAAGTGTGGAATGTTAAGTGTGGAATGTTTCGTTGAGGCATGGGCTACGGAGGTTTCTTCTATATGTCTATTGGAATCCGAGGGCTCCAACTACAACTGGAATTGTTATTGTCCTCATGCGCCACATTTTTCAGATTTCGATTTCAAGCTCCTCGTATTTTGATAGGTTTTTGAAAAATTTCAAAGATACATTCCAGGCTGCAGGGACTGCCATGTCAATAAGAAGGCACATTTTGTCTTTGCGGTCTCTAATCACACTGGCGGGGCGATCAGCTTTGACTGTTCTGTCTCTGTGTGTTGTAAGCTCCCGTAGAATTGTTACAGGTCCTATCTCCGTAACCGGGTCTGGCTGGTGTTCATACCAATTTCTTGCAGTTTCCTTTTCGTAAGCGTTGCAGATTTTCCATTGCAGATATTGGCCCACTCTGTCGTGCCGGGTTTTATATTCAATGGGTATCAATACCACGCAACCTGATACAAGATGGTCAATTGTTTCTGGATATTTATCAAAGTATCTGTATTTCAGACTAATATAATTTTGCAGTATGTATGTTTGGCAATTTCTAGAGACAAGCATTGGTCCTTGTACAGCAGAATTAAAACTTTTAGTTACAAGTTTTAACCCTGCACTACGTAGCCATTGATGAGTACGGGGTTTGTCTACATCAGCTTGTCTGGTATGGGCAGACCATGAAACGGTTTTATCTTGCCATCGTTTCTGTATCTGCTCGGTTGCAGTTGCCTTTGCTTTCTTTTTTAAGTATTTTGCAGCTTCAGTCAGTGTATTATAATTTACTTGGATTTCTTCACCCACTTGAAAAGCCA